AATCCCAGTTACACTCACCAACTGTGATTAGATTCCATGCCGTTGGGCCGTCCAAACTTAAGGAATTACTGAAAAATTCAAATTATTATCGCTTATTATCTTGGGACATTATCAGTTCAAACACTGATATACTGATACAGAGACCAGAACCAGAACCCAGAGCCCAGAGGCTCAGAAGAGAGAGAGCACAGCACAGCAGAGCCCATGGAACATGGCACCACCCAGAGGCAGAACTGGAACTCTTCGGGTGGAAGTGGCAGTGGCAGTGGCAACCCCATGACGGTACGGTGGCAGATACCCCAAACTGATACCGATATCCTACCAGCAGGCTGAAGGGCAGCAGGGTGGCAGGAGGGGGGGCTCTACAGCTACAACAAATTGATAGCAAATCTTCATTATCTTATAAATACAGTTGCATTGGTGCTGGTGCTGGTGCTGTGGTGTTGTGTATTGTATTGCTAAAAAGCCAAGATTAGATACTTTTATCTAGCTGTGGGTCAACGAGAACGAAACCCACCCCAAACCCCCCTCTAAGAAATCATCGACGTCACGAGAGGGAGCCTTGTCTTGCCTTGCCTTGCCATGGAGCATTATCGGAGGGAGCCTCTCTGTCTACCCCCTGAGGAGGACAGGAGTATCCCTTGCGAGGGGGCTCGACCGCAGTGTTCGTGGGGTAGTCAGAGTCGAAATCTCTCTCTCGCGGTCTCTCTCTGCCCGTTAAGATACGTTAACTTATCTAAGGCCACTATCTATTCTCAGATATTCGATATGTTTCGCTCTCTATATGCGCATATCTGCAGGCCGTGTATTATATGCGGCAAGGGGTGTTGTGTGTACGATAGGAGAAATCTCTTCTGTCGATAGGAGCTACAGCGAATGGCTGCAGATCATTTCCTTGGCAAGAGGCAGGCGCGGAACGTGCCTGCCACGGGCATCTCTCTCTCTTTTTTTTCCGTGAAAGTTCAAGTGTGGAAGCAGCTCCCGCTACCGCCCAAATGTTTATCTCATTTTCAACAACAAAATGTCAGCGCTCATAAGTAATAAATAATGTTTGGTCTTCTGTACGGTTCGGGGTCCGGTTAACAAGCCACCTACCTACCCACACTCCCCAGAGCCACTCCAAGCGGCGCGATCCCAATCAACCCCAGTAGCCATGATTGTTAACGTTAATGGCGTCGATGTGTCGATGTTGCTCTCGTCCCACGTTCACCTCCGCTGCTGGCCATGCAAAAACAATGCACAATGAGCAGCAGCAGCACACAGCACACAGCAACCTTATGGATTATTATGGATTGCCAGTATTAATAATGACTCACAACTCACCGACGTCCCAGGGCCTGGCCTCATTGGCAAACAAAGGTGCGTACCCACTAACCAGACGAGACAAAACGAGACGAGACGAGTGGGATGTATGTGCCACATTGGAGACGACACTTCCACTCGTAAACGTATTGCTGCTGCTTCTGCTGCTGCCAATCGCAGGGCTTGCGGTCTAACAAAATCCCGTATTAGTTCTCTATAGATCCCCTTTATGGTATGCTTTCAATCATCATCGTCTGCAGAACTGGTAGCTACTATTGTTTGTACTCTTTTTGGTTTTGATTTCCAATGATCTCATGACTGAATTTATGAAGTATTTTAAAGAATTAATCCTGTACCCTAGATATTGTCTGCATATACATACTCCTTCATATATTGCTCACATGTACACACATATATGATATTCCTGAAATTAACATCCAAAACACAACCCTGACTCATACCCTCCGGCGGGCATTCATCGTTCCTTGCAGTAAGCAATCCATAAATACTTTGCTGAACCATTCATTATCCTACTGACACAAACAAAGAAAGCTTAACTCTTTCACCCCGAAACTCCTCCTTCTTCATTGCGCAGGAGACAGAAGACAGAAGAGACCCTGGCCTGGCCTGGCCTGGCCTGGCTTGTGCCCCATTGCCTCATCGAATGCGCAGTTCCATTTTCCATAACTCATGTCCAAAATGTCGGTAGCGGATGATTTATGGCAGCAAAACAGCGACAGAGACAGAGAGGGAGGGGAGCCCTGGCGGGTTAATAGAATTTTCTTGAACTCAAAATGCTTTCACCACAATGCAGGAACCCGGGGACCAGAGGGAGTCTTGGATCAGGGTCAAAAGTAGAGTCGAGGAAGCACTTCCATTTGCCATCCAGTTTTATGTGATCGAACCACGCCATGGCTGATGGCTGATGGCGGATGGCTGCCTGTGCCACGGATTGGGCAATGCTTTGGGGGTGGTGGCAGCAGCTGTTGTGGTGTCGGGGGTTGGACCCACCCTCGAAACGGAGCGGAGGGTGGCGGGGAGGCTATAATTAAAACTATGGCGCACGCCTTTGCTGGCATTCGAAACAGTTTAATTTCCCAAAAAGAGTTCTTCCCCTTATCGCCACAGACGAAACACAAAATAAAATAATATTACGGCAGAACAAGTGACGAAAATTGTACACACAACTCGTATATAAATTAAATTCTCTACAGTCATTCCACAGCAGAAATAAAACGAAACAAGTGAACTGATCGCCATCGGCCGATACTGTCAAGACGGGGGCCAAGCACGAAAAGTGTTTCGAGTTCCGAGTAGATAGCATTTGGTGGAGCTTGGAGCTTGTCTTTTGTTTGCTGGCGCAGCAGTACTTGAAAACCTGGACACACTGTGGACACACTGTGGACAAGTTGAAGGGTGTGTGTGGTGGCTTCTCGATTCCCCGGGGAAGATATCGCCTGGCTATGACACTGGTCAGCAATGTTAAGTCTGCCACCCTCCAACACCGTGCTGTACTGCTCCGTTCTGTCTGTTCTGCCGCCTGCTAAGTCTTTGCGTCTTACGTAAATTCAGTGCCGTAAATTCAGTTAGAAAAGCTCCATAAGCCCTGACCAGTCCAGGCCAAGGCGGTGCCATCAATTAGGGTATTAATTGCACGACTCTACAGACGAAAGACGAAAGAAAGCCTCCCCTCTGCATGAGTCCATGAGTCAGTTTCAGTTGTTGTTTTGGGGAGCGGATTGTCCTCGCTGTCTCACTCCCCCACTCTCTCGCTCTGTCTCTCGTATTAATCTCTTGTAATGTTGAATTCGTGTAGCGCCATTTGTAAGGCTCACTCGGTTCGGAGGCTGTCTGTCAGCTTTTTGAGTGATTAATCACTGGGCTGATATTTTGCGACACGCAGCCAGCCGCTACTTGCAACCGAAGCTGGAGCTGGAGGCGAAGCCGGAGCGAAGCTATTAGATACTTTTTGTCTGGCGGTTTTGCTCTTAAGATTTGCACCATGATTTATGCACCACATGAGTTGCAACAATTAAAATTATCGCACCAAGCGATTTCCATTCATGGGGGGGCGGAACGGGCGGCTAAAAATGCCAGTAATGCCAGCATTATAAGCGAAACGGGGGAGCCGGGAGCCTCCTCTTACCAGGGGTAGGGGTAATCTCGTTCCACGTTGGGAACGTGCATGTTAATGGCCCTCATATATCTGCTTGGTTTATGACTTTAACTATAAACAATTTATGATTGGCCCCGCACAGGCTGTGAGGGCAGTCTCCACGCCTGCCGGAGATGTCTGTGGTATGTGATTTGTGCGTCTTGTTCCTCAGAGATTCGCAAGATTTAAAGGAGCAAATTAAACATCTTTAAGATGATAGAGTATCGTTGTTAGAGTTTTGATTATCTCGGAAAATGTAAGTAATATGGGAGGAATAAATAATTAAAAATAATGTAGATCGATAAAAGATCGGAAGTATACAGAATAGAATCTTGCAATATCTATCTCTAAATAGGAGAATTATCTTTGTCATTTGGCAATAGAAATAAAAGCATTTTCCACCCTAGAAATCACTCTCTAAAAATCCTCCTCTGCTGCCTTTATTCCGCTTCAAAGTGTTGTAACTATAAACCCAATGAATCTATCGCGATTGTGCAAACATTTTGTCAGATCTGTAATCAAGCATTCCTCCACTCGAACTTGCACAGAAACAGCAGAAACCGCAGACCTAAAAGACAGACACTTCAACCGAAAAGCAAATCACAAAATTCAATCTTTGCTTTTGTTGAGTAGAGTGACATTTTTTGAGGTTTTGCAATATTTACAGCACCTGATCCTCGACCACGTGTGAGCTCGTCGATCGTTGATCGTCGATCGGCTGTGGAGCGTGGAGCGTGGAGTGTGTGTTCTCCTCTCTGTTTCTCTGTCGATTTTCATTAGTTACAACACTTGAGAGCTGACTGTCTGACTGGCTGATTGTGAAGTGGGGAAGTGGAGCTGCGCCGTCAAAAGCGGCCCACATATGGGGCTATGGCGCGTATGGTCATATAAAGTTTTGTTCACAATGACAGTGCGACAGTGCGACAGGTCTCCAAGCCCATATGTGCCTGGGCAGGCAGAACAGAACAGAACAGAACAGAACGGAACAGAACCCATGGACCCCATTCGGAGCCGTTCTGTTGACGTTGACTAACGTTGGCCATGTTTATTAGTTTGCCAGAAAAGTGTTTTATGAGTGCAATTAGAAAATGCGCTAGACTAAATTGCACAATTGACAAATAGCCAAATGTGGAGAGGGTGTCGAGGTGCCTCTCCATGGGCCACATCCCCGCCCTGATGGCAGGCAGTCGAGCAATACTTGCACTGGTATTTGTATCTCACGGATACGCCGCGAGCACTCTTATCGCCGTCGACAACTGTACTCGCACACACACACACACCACCCACCCATACTGGTGCAGGGCACACTTCTTATCGCCGCCTGCCCTGTATACCTGTATCTGTGCGATAAGATAACCAATACCACGGATACGCATACAGTTGCAGCTGTGGCTATATACGCATAGGAATAAATCATAACTCACCCACACAAACACACACACACACACACACACTGGCAGGCATAAGGTAACACCCATACAGGCACAGGTGTGGAGGTGCTATATGGAGGTGCATCTGTGTGGGTATCTAATTGGGCGGCAGGCAGAGGCAGGCAGACCGCAATGCGTCGCGTCGCCTCGCCTCGACGTCGTTGTTGTACCGCTGCTGCTGCTCCGAGTCCCAGGCCCAGGCCCAGCCAGACCCAGCCAGACCCACAGACCCACAGAACCGCCGCAGAACCGCAACCACAGACCCGAAACCACAGCCAGAGCCCAGAGCCGGAGTCGGTCTCGTCTCGTCTCTTGTCGAATTACACACAGCACTCGCTTCTCTTCCTGCCTCCCAATAATTGCTATTAAGTGCCGCGCGGGAAGCAACCACACGGAAAACCTGCTGCGGAAATCGGAAACTGAAAGTTCCAACCAAAAATAATAATAATAATATACGCTTTTTCGCGCCACTTTTGAGCCACGCCCGTTGGTCGCCGCCCCCCCAGTTCTGATAAACCTCCCCGGCACTGGACAGGCGGACAGCTAGTGCAAGTGATAATAATTTAAAAAAAAAGAAACAAGTGATAAAAACAAAAGTTAGATAAAAACTTTGGAACACCATCAAACACTGAACCACTCCCACGAAGAGAGACTGCAAGCAGGAGAGCAGGAGAAAGAGGAAGGAAACGCACTTTGATGGTCTGCAAAACTATCTCATCGAGTGTCAAGATGCAGCTGAAGGTGGGTGCAAAAACACAGATATAAAATATATACAGAATAAGTTAACATATAAGAGATTTACAGATCGGAAATGAAATTAAAGGTGTTTGATAGAATTTTAGGTAATGAAAGCGGTCAAAGATATAAAAGCAGTCTGAATAAAACATGATTTTATTAACTATAACAGTTTGCAGATAAAGGATGGAACATTTGCGGGAATTAAATAATTATGCCCAAAAGTTGCCAAAAGTTAATTAAATACCTATTAAAGATATTAGGCGACATTTTTCAGTAAATCTACAAGAAGTAAATGGTATTCAGTGACTTTAAAAGTGCGAATGAAATGAATAAATTGCTGCAAAAATAAGAGGAGTAAAAACATTTGAAAGCAAAACCAGAAATTAAGCAATTAAACGAGCAGAGCAGAGCAGAGCAGAAATACATTTCGAACACACTTTTATAACGTTTGCGAAGATCAGTTTACGAGATCTCTATAAGCATATCTGTCATCTGCCACATTGTGGAGGAAGAGTTGGGAGATCATAAAAATGTTGTTAACCGTTTCTCACACAAGTTCATTAAGCTAAATAGACAAGCTATATAAGACCATAAAAAGCGGGCTCTAAAAATGTTTATAGATCGGCCATGGAACACTATTAAATCAGAGCTATGAAACTCGATTAAATGGCGCTGTGGCTTATAGAAATATTAAAACTTAGAAAACTGTAGAAAAGGATGAAAGCAATCCAAACAAAAAAAAACACTTTTAAACTTAATTCCAAAAGCAATTTCGAGGCATTTAATTTGGCTCAAACGGCAGCCAGACTTGGCCATAGATTTGCTCAGCCAGTGGACAGCGGGGCCTCGTCAATGAGATAAGACAAATTGATTTATAATGAATGACTCATCCATCTATGGGATGCAGCGGCAAAACTGCGACACTTTCTGACTCTCTGGCTTTCTGCCACTCAAAGGAAAAACCCGAAACAATCCATTAAGAAAACGAGAACGCAAACAGAAAAAAGAACTACGAAAAAAAAAAAAAAACAGACACTGAAACTGAGTTAAATGTGGAAAGATGGCTAATCTTTATGAGGCCTAAAATTCAGCTGCGATCGGAGGTGGCGTCAAAATACCTTTGACAAAAAAAAATAACAAAAAATTGGAAACACGCACATTTTGGCTTTGTCTGCGTTTCATTCATGAAAAAAAAGGAGAGAAACGGAAAAAAGGACACTAACGCCAGTGCGGATAATGTGAAATTTATGTCAATCTTATCACCTCGCTTTGGTCCTGGCCCTAGTTCTGCTGCCTTTATCGCAGAAGGGATGGAGCAGGGTTTATGAATGAAATTGCCAACCCTTAGCCTTAGCCTGGGGGTTGGTTGCTTTTGGGCCTGCCGCCGTCGCCGCCGGAAGTTGCCGGTTGTCCAATCGCAATCGAGAGTCCCTTAACAGTTGCTCAATGGCGGCATCGACATCGGCATCGACATCGACATCGGCATCGGATAGTTGCAGTTGCAGATACTTTTATTAGACACGCGTCGCGTCGCGTTGCGTCGCCCCTCGCCACACCCGATGGCCGATGCCTGATAGGGGTAGGGCAGAGGCAAAGGTCGGGCCCAGAGTCTTCGATTGATGGCCCTTTAATAGAGCTGTAAATGCAGCTGGCAAATGGATTGCCTTATCGCACTTTCATTAGTGCCCAACGCTGCAATGGACTTTAATTAATCGCGGGGATCATCTAACGAGAAAGAAAGAGAGGGGGAAAGATAATAGAGTGAGTAGTTATATTCCACTATGTATGACTTTCCATTAGAAATTCTTTGCCGGAAACTGTTTCATTGAGTTATTTTCTGCCAAACCCTCGACCCAAGCTTGAGCTTGAGCTCAAGCGAAAGCGAAATGAGTTGCGATTATACATGGGCACATCTGTATATCTGTAGGTATCTGCATATACAGCCAATGTCTGTTGTTTGCATAGATAAAATGTGTGCGCGGCTGTGTGGGTGTGACTGGCCGCCAGATTTCATTCATAAGTTGGAGCCACTCCCTCAGAGCTCGAACTCTTGGCAAATAGCACATGCCACAGGCCACAGGCCACCACTTGCTCAACTTATTGTAATTCTTAAATATACTTACGAATACTCGTAGTACCAGTATCTGTATCTATATCGATATCTATATATATATCTGTTCCTATCGATGACGTACACTCGATGGAGCAGGTGGGATACGAAACCATGACCTCTCGTCGGAGTCCCAGCAGCAGCAGCAGCAGCTACTGATTATGTACATTGATAGCGCCTCGGATAAGATATTGTCCGTATCGTATCGTTCGGCTGTAGTATCTTAACTTTTGTCGCGGTACACGGGACACGTGCACACACCTCCCTCCTCCTATCGTACTACTCAAAGAGTCGTAGCCGCTCCAGGGGGAACTCCGGGTTTATCTGCAGTTTGGCCAAAGTGACGTTTTGCAGCACATTATCTCCTGACGGAGTCCGGACCTCCCCCGGTTTGCTTCATTGAACTTTGGCCATACTTGCAATAGTTCCACTTCCACTTGGAGAGCTCTCCATTTCCTCTCGGCCCCTTTCTTTTCTGCTGCTTTGGAGCTTGGACTTTACACAGCGCCAGACGGGTAATTTTTCACCTTTTTTTATGACTTGTCAACTCATCCAAAAGTCGCCATGAATCATCGGCCTTAGACCTAAGTTGTGGATCAATCATTTGGGGGGTACAAGTCACAAGTAAATTCCACGTAAAATGAATCAATTATAGTCGTAATTCATACTGGAAGGAAGGCAAAGAGGGAGGGAGCTTCTACTTTCGTTTGGGTTGGCTGTACTTCGATGACAGAGTGCAGAAACCTGAGGAAAGTCCTTCCATTCGGTATCCATTTCTGCATTCAATCTTTTGCCTATATTAATACTTAATTTCCAATCCTATGTATGCCTCTTTCCACTTTCCATTGAAGCACATAAATGCCTCTCCAGCCCCACCATATTGCTGTTCCATTCTCGATCGCTAGTCATCCTTGAATGCGAGTACAATGGGCTTGTGCCTTGTGGGTTTCCCCATGCACATAAATAGTTGATATATATTTATAGTTTATGGTGAAACCCACCTCAAAGCCTTTTGCATTATATGGCACTTGTCGCGGAGGGTTTGGGCTTGCGCTTGGGCCTGGGCCTGGGCCTGGGCTCGCCATCAGGTGAATCAGGTGACAATGACGTTCGAATGTGTTGACACAAGTTTGGCGAGGGAGAGGTACGTGGCCACCCCCAATGGCATGCATGGAGGAGGAATGAGGTCATAAACAAAAATCGACTGACGTATAGGAAAACAAAAAACAAAGCAAAGCGATTTGGATTTTATGGCCAACTTTTATTTCCGTCCGAAAAGGAACCGAAATGAGTGAGCAAATGAAAACGAAACTAAGCCGCGACACGAGCTGAGGTTCAGGTTGAGGTTCCGTGGTTCTGTGTGTAAACATTGCTGGAATAAAAGTGAAAAATGTGTACGACAGTGTTGACAGTGAGTGCGAGTTGTATGTACCCTCTCGAAGCCCCCCCTGTTCAACGTCTTCTTGTAACGTCTTTGAGGTTGTAGGCGACAAATTGAGCCGCCTTTGAAGTTGCTAGAGGGTCTGGGCTCTGAGCTCTGGTCTCTGGCTTTGGGTCTGCGTCTGTGTTGACTTTTGTGGCGGAAATCGAGGCAGCCAGTTCGCACATTTGTGGCCGGAACTGGAGCCACACTTTTGACTGAGTTTCTGAGGCATTCAACATTTGTCGCTCGTCCATTGCAGATGGAAACGCAGACAACGCAGCAGCAGCAGCAGCAACAATTGCAACAGCAGCAGCAACAACAGCAACAACAGCAACAGCAGCAGCAGCAGCAGCAACAGCAGCAGCAGGTCCTGACCAAGCAGCAGATTCAATTGCTGGACAAGATCAAGCTAGAGGCAAGCAATGGAGCCGAGCAGCTGAGCCAGCAGACAGCCAGCGCACTGGAGGAGCAACAGGAGCAACAGCAACAGCAGCAGCAGCAGCAACCAGCCACCTCCGTGGGTGTGGTGGTGCAGACGAGTCAGGGAGCAGTCAGCAGTGAGCCGGAGGAGCAGTACGTGGTGGTGCCACGCATACAGCAGCGACGCATCCTTACCACAGCGGGGACATTGTAAGTTTCACGGCAGAATTCCTCGCTAGAAATCCACTGATTCCTCTGATTCCTTGCAGAGAGTTGAACGAAGCTCGTGAGGGAGAGCCCAGCAGCGGGAGCTCTGGTTCCGCCTCCGAGGGGCACATCGAGTACCAGCGCAGCTCCCACCACTCCCCAGGAGCTGCACACGCGACGCACTACGTCCAGATGGCGCCACGCAACGCAGAAGTGCCAGAGGTGGCGCCAGGCGCGCCACCGGGCACCCTCTACGCCTATCCCTCGGGGCAGATCATCTGCAGCGGCGAGGATGTGGCGGCCATCAAGATAGAGACCATCGAGAAGGGAGAGGTGCCGGGGGAATCGCAGCAGTCCCAGCAGCAGCAGCAGCAGCAACAGTTGCAACATCAGCAGCAGCAGCAACAACAGCAGCAGCAGTGTCCCACCCCCAATGGAGCCGCCTATGGGGAGACTATTGTGATCAGTCGAGAGGCAGAGGCACTGCAGCATCACCACCACCAGCAGCAGCAACAGCAGCAACATCCGGCGTCTGGGGTGCACATCGCCAGCAGCTCCCATGGCGGCACCGTGCGATTTGTCTCCGATGATGGACGCTTCGCCAGCGCCGTGCCAGAGGCAGCCGGCTCCACGCTGTACTACGACGTGCCCGTGGTGGACGCCAGTGTCCATGCCAATGAGTCCAAGACGTATGCGGATCTGGGCAATGCCTATGCCTTCCCGCCCAGCTCCAGTTTCACGAGCAACAGCTACGCGGCCACGCTGCAGCAGACGAACACCATCTACACGGTGCCCGGGGGCCAGTTCCTGACCAAGTCCGAGGCGGGACTCAACTCCCTGCGCCAGGCGGGTCCGACGACCTTCCTCAATCACTTCCCGGACGGCAGCCAAGCCATCGACCTGTGGACATCGCCCGCACCGCCAGAGTACCAGAACGCGCCCTTTGTAAGTCCGAATCGTACATAGATCCCCCAAGCCACGACTCACTCTTCTCGTATCCGTCTCGTATCCGTTCGGCAGACCAACTTCCATCCGCAGGTGATGGATGAGTACGCGTCCAGCAACATGACCGCCACCCACTGGTCGCCCGCCGGCAGCATCGGGCAGTACGACGGCAGCCTGGTGACAGCCTCCGCCACGTCCTCCCCGAATCACGACCTCAAATGCGAGAACTGCCACTCGCCGTTCGTGCGCAAGGGCTCGGATTTCTTCTGCCCCAACTGCACGGGCTTCATACGCATGGCCCCGCGCATGCCCCAGCGGCAGGCGAAGCCAAAGACCGCCGCGGCACCCAACAATCGTCGCAATGGAGTGACCTGCGCCAACTGCCAGACCAACTCGACGACGCTGTGGCGGCGCAACAACGAGGGCAATCCCGTGTGCAACGCCTGCGGGCTGTACTTCAAGCTGCACAACATGAACCGCCCGCTGTCGATGAAGAAGGAGGGCATCCAGAAGCGGAAGCGCAAGCCAAAGAACAATGGAGGAGCGCCCATGCACCGGGGTGCACCACTGCCAAGTGAGTAAAAGCTTAACAGATTGGTATATGGGTAAATGGAGAGAACGTGGGGCACATCTCTGGGGGCCATGTCTAATAATTCATACCGAACCTCACCATTCTCCAACTCCTTCCGCAGGCATGTCGCAGGGTGTCAATCTGATGGGGAACAGCGCCCCCCTGTACCCATCCCAAGTGCCCGTGAATATGCTGAATAGCCAGCAGCAGAATGCCAGTCCCGAGCTGCACGACATGTCCGCGACGGGACCGGCGGGTGGTGGCTCCCGTGTGGGGACCATTCAGGTGAATGCCTCGGGCGCACCGCCCAGCTCCGATGGATCGCTGAACATGTCCGCCCGACACCATGTCACCGGAGAGAGCCATTCGCCGTACAGCCAACAGACGACGCCCTCGCAGAGTCAGTCGCCGCACCTACCCAGCCCCGTCAGCCTTAATCGCCAGATAGTCCAGCCGTAAGTAACCCAGCGGAGGAGACGTGAGCAGAATGATCTGCAGATCTCTAATGGTTGGCTCTCCCCTTACAGAGTACCTGCCATCGAGAGCGGTCGCAGTTCCATCAACAGCGAACTCACACCGAGCGTCATAACGCGCACTGGACTGCCGGAGCGATCATCGAATAACTAAACTTTAGTACCAACTAAAAGTAACAGTAAAAGTAACAGTAACAGTAACAGTTAAAGTAAATGTAAACGCCAACCAAAATGTCAAGATTGCCAAAATATTTATTTAAGTCCTAGCCTTAGTTATCTACTAAACTATGCGAGTATTTAGTATCCAATGTCCCAGTTAGAAAGCGAGAGAAATCGGAAGGAAATACTTGAAAAGTTGCTGGGCAAAAACTTCCCATCAATCATTCTTCCGCTTAGTCAATCATTTGAAATGATTTGTGGAGGCAGCGAGCACTCTAGAAGTAATTTAGCGAAAAGAAAGGAAAGGAAAAGAAAAGAAAAGACAAAGAAAAGACAAAGACAAAAGCACAAGAGGGCCATAAAGAAGCCTACGATTTTGTATGTTTAAGCACACGTGTTTTTATTCTACAAAATAAAATAAATAAGTTGTAAACGCAAGGGAGACACTCAAGAGACTTTGATGACTCTACCAGGCGGAGCCCCTGCTAATCCACCAGCCAGCAATCCACAGGATAAGACTGCCCGAATGAGCCTGCCATTGTCCGCAGTGGAGGAGAGTGGCCTGGCCTGGCCTGGCCTGACCCGGCTCTCGGTATATTTCATTGTCAACAATTTGGCAGCAAACCAAATTGATCCAAATTAATTTTAATGACCCCCACAGACCACAGCGCGAGACCATAAAATCTTAACAAGATCCAAGCTCCACAGCCCCAGAGCGATCCTCGAAGCGAACGAGCCCCACAGAGCAGTGTCTAAATAGCGATTTGGTGTCATCGCTTAAAAGCCTGTCCGACGCACAATGCCGCCGCCACCGCCACCGCCGCTGCCGCGGGAGTAACGCCACCGCCCGATGCCTGGTGCCTGGTGCCGCCGCTGCCTTTGATCTGCTGTGTCGATCGGTATGGCAAAAATGCTTCAACCAACTCCGAGGCCAGGGCAGGGCAAGCCCCAACACGAAGACGGGCTGGACTGGACGCTGCTCTCGACTCTTTTGGGGCCTGCAGGAGGCGCAATGCCCGGTATAATATTAACGCCTTGAGTAGCGGACCCTGCCCTGAGCTCTGCCGCCTCTCTGCCGCCTCTGGACCCTCTTTTTGTTTTTTTTTGTTGGCGTACGCTCGATCAATTAGGCAAACTTGTTTTACGACCGCTTTTATTAGCATTTCGCGGACCAGCGGCGGCGCTCCAAGTCGAAACGAACCACAGAAAAGAGTGGAGCTGCGACTTGGACTTGCGAGTGCGAATGAGTAATGGGACGGCGGCCCCAGCACCCCAGCAGCACAGCACCACAGCACACACAGCAGCAGCTATGGAATGTGTTGGCAAAAATTATGTGCAGCGTGAAGTTTGTGCAAGTGGAATGGATATGGGATATGGCAATGGGAATGGAAATGGAAATGGAGTAGCTCTCTCTCGCTCTCTGTTTGAAGTAGAATAGAGTAATAGAGGGAGTTAATTTCTATGGCTACCGATAGGGGGAAACAAGCTTTAAAGAATCTTTGGGAGTAGTCCAAAGTCCTGGCTTAAATGCTCCATTTTTGTGGCTTTTCCCCAAATATTAACTTATATTTCTAAGTATATTAAAGGCATCTTTTTAGTTATCTTTTGCTACTGTAGACATTGGAAATGATCACAAGACTACTTTTAGTTTCCCATTTAAAAACTCTTCCGAGACCATCAAATTCTCAACTTTTCTATAAATATTCCTTCCAAATCGATTTCGAATTCATTTCGAATCTCTAACTATTCGCCGGCAGACACATAAAGTATATCGGAATGGCAATTGTATTTATGCTTAAGGAGCACCCGACTCCACTCCACTGCATAATTACGAGTGCGAGAGCGAGTAGCATGCCAGTAATTGGCTGCCTGCCGCACCTGTACGTAGCTGCACGAGTATATCCTCCGATATAGCAGGAAATTAAAACATTAGCGTGTTAACCTGTTCTCCGTTTGATGGGCGGAGAGCCTGAGGGAAGAGCGAACTTGCAGTTGCGCTGCAGAGAAGTGGAGAGACCGTAAAATAATAATTCAATGTGACAGGCAACAAGATACGACAACGGGCGCCATTTTTCAGATGCCACTCTCTTCCCATGTATGTATGTATGTAAGTATGTACGTCCCCGAGATCTCTCTCTCCTCATGGCACACTTGTTGTGGCTCTCCCTCTCTGTCTCTCTCCTTGCCACTCTCTCTCTCAGCTGTGCTGTGTGTGACACTATCTGTGGAATTATGACAGACGTACAAGACCGCAGCAGTGGAAAGGAGAGGAGAGGAGCGCAGAGCAGAGCAGTAGGAGGAACGAGCAACGATCCGCTAATCTCCGGGGCCGTGCATGCATTTGAATTTCTATTAAGTTAATTGCACTCCTAAAAATAAAGAGCGGGGAATGGAACGGAACGGGAACGAGCTAAAGCTCATGTCCGTAACAGATGCAGATACATCATTGTTTTCCACAGATACAGATATGATTCGGATCATCGGAATTAAAGTTATGGGTATGGGTGGTGTTGGGGGTGGGGGTATAAAAGCCAACATAAAGAGTGGATACTGTCAACATTGAGCACACTCCTCTGTCTCTGCATTTAATTAGCCATCAGGCCATCAGGCCATCAGCCATCATTTGCGTGTATATGTCGAAGAGGTGACCACCTAGCCAGGCGGCCTCTTGACCCGTAGCCCGTAGGCCCGTAGGCCCGTAGCCAGAACCGGGTTCGAGGCGCCACTTAGTCAACTTCAAAGTGCAGGCCGCTGCTTCAGCTTGAAGCTGTTTCTGCTTGGTGGTGCATCTTCGTCTGTGGCTGGGGCTGGCACTGGCGCTGGCACTGGAACTTAAGCTACCATCATCATCAGGCCATCAGGCCTCATCGCCTGGCATTACAAATCGACAAACGACACGAAAATGCGCTTAAACATCGCGCAGTTAAAATAGATAAAAGCCGATAGTCAGACGCCGCCAGGAGAAGGAACGGGGAGGCCACGGGTTGGAACGCGAGCCAAGAGGAGCAGCCAGCGGCCAAAAGTAAGCCAAAAGAGAGCTTTGAGAGAGCACTACTCTAAGATTATGCTAATAAATTGTATCTATTAGTCACTCACTTGTGCATGTATCTGGGAGCTGTCTGAGATGATCTACTAAATAGACTTAAAGCCTAAACTGAATCCATACGTCTAGGTGTACATCTTTACAGCTGAGTTACATAAGAGTCTAAGCAGGGTTTCGATATAATCTAAAGAGAAATTTTAACTTAAATATAACCGTTTATTTTATTTTATTATTTATTTATTTAATTTATTTCCTGTAGAAGCTCTAACTTTCCTCGCTTTTCAAATATATTCCATGCCAAAAGAGTAACAGAATCCCTATCCAGGTTCCTTGTTCCCTTTCTTCTTATATGTATGTATATTCCTGCCTATATCCCATTACCCTTTTACCCTTCTGGAAAACATTCACTCCCACTTGCAGCACTCGCCACCATCATCACAAGAGGAAGACACACACACACCCAAAGGGGAGGGGTACTCTGACGTCACATGCAGCAAGCAGCTAAAGAACTTGACCGCATCGTTTTCAGGTTCTAGGAAAATCAATCGAAATTCCAAGAATTCACACGAAAGACAAAATGAGATTGGCTTGAAAGAGGCCCCGCAAGGCAAGGCAAGGCAAGGCACATGTGAAGGAAGGAAGGAAGGACAGACAGAGACACCGAAAGGCAAGCAGAAAGAGACAGAGAGAGAGTATAGGGGCATGCATAAGGTATTCCCTTGTCTCTACGACTCTTATCACAACTCACGCGCGTCTCGTTCCATTCCATTTCAGTTTTCAGTTTTTTGTGCGGTGTTCTTCGTACCCGAAATCACATTATCTCCATTGGTGCCTCCATTCGTTCCTTCGATGGCGACGCAGCTAATGGATATGCCACAGACACAGACACAGCCACAGCCAGAGACCCGAGCTGCAGTTCCAGTCTCTGCCACATATCACAGATGATGATGATGATGATGATGAGGATGATGACGATGATGATGGGGTGATGGTTGCAGACGCCGCCAGGAGGAAGATTGAAGATGCGGCGCTTATCGAGGGAGAAAACGAACGAAAAAAAACAAAATCAAAATAAGAAGAAGATGAAACCCGAAAAGAATTCCGACCCAGGCCAGGTTCCATCTCATCTGCTCCCTCTCTGCATTTGTATATATGCCTGTGTCTCTGTGTCTTTTGCTTATCGTTCGAACTGCAGACTTTTTGTTGCCCCTTTGCATTTGCATCGGGGAATGCAACGACGTTGGGGCACAGCCAGAGGCTGAGAAAGGGTTCTCCGTCGCCGTCTCTGAGCTCGAGCTCAGAAATGTGGCGCCAAAGGAAGCGTTGAAAATGGTACTTGATCTTGATCGCGATGACTCTTACCGCGATGCCTTCCCGTGCCCGCCGCACCTCTCCTTTAAGGCGAGATAGAGGCAAGAAAGAGGCTCGACTGGGGATCTTCTGCCTGGTGAATGTAATTTAGACGGCGCCTCGATCCTTGTTTCACACTAATGCACTTGCAGCTTTTTAAATGTCACCAGGAACACAGTCCTGCAGTGCTCCAGTCCTCCAGTCCATCAGTCCACCAGTCCTCCAGTCCACCAGTCCTCCAGTCCACCAGTCCACCAGTCCTCCAGTCCACCAGTCCTCCAGTCTGTTCCTCTGATCATCAGATCTGTTCTGCCTGCTAGGCCACTTTGTGATCTTGTAATCCCCTCTCAGCTCTTGCCTCCTTGCGCTGCTGCTCTGATGCACATCTCTGGCCGGACTCTGGTGTGTATTCAATTGGAATAATTACTGATATCATCAGGGATTTGTTTGTGCCAAGGGGAGGATTATTACGGGGAAATCGGTGATTGAATGATGAGTGATTGAATGAGTTAAAGTAGAGCTCTATCAGAGTACTCTAACTAATCTTTAGGTTGTGATACAAAGGAGCACAACAATTGCCAAGATACTTCCCTCAAGTAGGAGCTACACCAGCACCAAGATCATCCTCCAACTGAGACTCTTGCACTACCCACAGACTTCTCCCATTCCAAGACTCAGCACTCAATGTAACCCCTACGTCAACCTTCGGTTAAAAGCTTTGCAACTAAGTGTTACATCGAAACGCAGTGTAAACAAGCAATAAACCAATAATAAGATATAATCCAATCGAAGGCTCTTGCCACGTTTTTAGTGCCATTTTGTTAAGATCAGTCACCAGACTGACACAGAGAGAGTCACAGAGAGAGGGGAGGAAACTCCATGAGCCCCATAAGCGATACGTTTTACGAGCAGAGCCACCCCCCACCCAGCAGGATATTGGCCATAACAATTACAATGTATGGGCCCCAGGGAATCGCTCATATCGGCATTGGTATCGGTGGGCTATGACGAGTGGCATCCTCTTCAATTAAGTGCGCGAGAAGATCTCCCTCCGGCAGCTTTTCATTAGTTTATCGCTGTGGCAGTGGCATGAGCGAAATATTTCAAATGTTGCCACAAGAAAGCAGCGCAGCGTCCCAGAAAGTGGTCACAGAACCAGTTGCAATTAAAGGTCTGCCTCTTGAGGTGGCGCCGCTTTTATTTTTGCGGACAGAGGCCTTCCGACCCTTCAACGTGAGAAAATTCCGCTCGAAATTATATAGGCAAAATGTCTCGGTTATCGAGCGGCCAGCATACCTGAGCAAAAATGTATGTGCGTATGCTTGAGATAGTGCCACAAGTCCCGGCAAGTCCCAGCAAGTCCCAGCAAGTCCCATGCCCCATGCCCCCAACCACAGCTCCACACAACCACAACAAAAAGCGTAAATGTCAAAATGCCAAAATTAATTGCAATGGCAGTGCCGGGGATAAGAGGCCAGAGCCAGAGCCAGAAACGGCCATGCTGCCACCTCAAGGAGCCAGAGAGCAACAGACCACAGGCCACAGCCCACTTTTGGGGCGCCACAAAGTCGGTTATGTATTGGAGGTGGGAACAAGGGTGGAGTTGGAATGAAAATTAAGGGGTTTTACTCGTTTTGTAGGAAAAATTAAGGAAGCGTGGGAAGGGTGGGAAATTAGAGATTATTTTACACAATTTTTACCCTCCAATTTCGATTAATTTTTAACAAAAACCCTTCGCAGAGACGCCTCTGCCTCCAGCTCCTGCTTGCCACAGTTGGGCCACCATTACAAATTCTACCACTTTTAGCCCTAACCAAGCGCAGGCGGCATGCCACACCCCAAGGCAACGGACGGGCTGCGATTCCAGTCTTCAGTCGTGCCACCAAAAACCAGACCCAGGCCGGGACCCAGGGCCAGGCTTCAACTTTGGCAACAACAACACGCACGAGGCTTATGCCTCGCGCTCTTGTGGCAACTATCAGGCCGGGCAATCAGCAGGACGCCGTTGCAGGCTCTCGCTGTGGATGTGGCTCTCTTGCAACAGAAAAACTCGTTTGCTGATTCCCCATTTTGAGGTGGAGTCAGGCGGTCGGGCAGCAAGGCTTCGATTGGTCAAAGAGACTTGAGGCACACACACACACACAGAGAGAGAGATGGGAGACCCTCATGCCACATGGACGCTACCCCTGCCCCTTCCGTGCCGCCAGCAGAATGCCTGCCTTCCCCTCTTTCGGATTTCATTAAAGTTTCGCATAAATTTTGTTGCATGTTTGTGGCGTTTCATGTCTGGATGCTTGTCTGGGAGTCCAATGGGGTATCGCACGGCGCTACACGCATTTCAGGTCCAATTCATTTGCAGCTAGATTTGTGCCCCACTCCCTCGGGGGCATGCCCCTGGCACCCCTCACTGGCTCGCCGCCTGGCAAACAGGTAAAGGCAAACGCATTTCGTGTCCGTGTCCGTGTCTTTGGTTTTTTCTTTATGATTTTAGTGCTCGTATTTTTTGGCAGTTCCTATAAATAATTGAACTTTATCGCTCGCCAGCCCCGTTGGTCGTTTAATAAATTTAATTTGTGGTAATTGAACTTACGGCAGGGACGGGACCGTAGCCAAGCCCCAAACACGGCACGCATTGAAATTCCAATTGAAATTGCTCATTTTTCAAGGCTGTTGCGTAATTAATATTAAAAACAAAAAAAAAACCAAAAAAAAAGGGGAAGTCTCTGCAGAGAATGGAGATATGTATGTGTCATGCCCCATCTGCAATCTCTTTCTCGCCCAGGAACTGATTCTCCGTAATTTATGACTTGCTACTCGTACTCGTATTTGTGCGATAGTGTTTAAGGAGAGTGCCAAACTTATCTGTGTTCTGGTTCTGCAGTTAGTCATGAGAATATTTTCGGGAAAGGCTCTAGATGAATGAGTTTATCCGAAATATAAGTGAATAAAATCCATCATGGAATGCTATTTTTGGTTCTGCTATTTCTTAGCTTCAGAAGAAAGGAAATGCTTGAATTCTAAGCTACTTCCTGTCCATATCTATAGCCATGATAATGATATGATATAATGAATGATGAATTTTAATTAAAATGTAATCGACATTATGTTAGCAGACACAAATCTGATATAGAATATATACTACAGTGCCTAAAAAGAGGAAAAACATTCACTAATTTACTCTTCTCATTTATTTCGCCTTTTTACAAGCTAAGGACGAATAATGATATTTATTTAACTATTACGAAGCAAATTCCGTAACTCTAAAAAAGTTTCCATCATATTTTAGATAACATTTTCGAGGGCTGCTGTCAGTCCATCATAAGATTGGATTACAAATCTTCTGGATGTGCTCTTTAATATTAATTTATGTATCAAAGCACGCCACAGACAGAGAGACAGAGGGACAGCGAGACAGCGAGACAGACAGACAGATACTCTTATCTTCATTGAGACAAATGAATGGCATAACTAATTTGTAACTTGAAAGGAAATTGCTGATTTCGCCCCACCTGCCTAGCGAATGAAAAACGCTTAATGAAGACATTTATCAGATAAATAAATCACGGGTAGGCGTTAAACTTATAAATTACAGGCACAGCTACGGGTACATACAAATATTAACTTACTCGTAAATATAATTTATTTCCCTTAATTGCTATCGCGGGGAAGAGTTATGACACGAGCGCAAAAATGCCAATTAAAGTGCACATAAAATGGCTAACCCAAAACAAATAAAGGAGCATAACAACTTTGGGCCATGGTTTATTGCCTTAACAGTTGGAGATTCATCTATGGGGATACCCTTGGAAGAGCGAGGTATTTGGATTATGGGAAGATATTTGGAAATGCCTCTCATTAATGCATTATCTAGATCCGCATTAGGAGAATATGCTAACCGATGCCATGGGCTTCCGATGGAGTTCACTAAATTAAATGTAATCCGATTTCATGTGCCTAAGCTTAAGATATCTCCTATCCCCATTGTATTCCAATCGAAGAACTATATCTTATAGCTGCCATATCTGCAAAGTATCTGGGTATTCGTTCCACGTACCACACCCTATCTTTTTTAACATTATTGCTTTATTTATTATCGAATATTATATGCTTTTAAATGGCGTGCGGAAAGACATTGCGCATACGCCATGAGAGCCGCTCAAACCATAAAGTGGGCTGTCCCCCGAGAGACGAGTGCGCTCTCTCTCTCACTCACACACACACTCATAGGAATATCTAAACAGCAAATCAAGCAAACTTTAATATGGCCACATAACCGATTACGAATGTGGGAGAGCGACAGAGCCAGCTGTAGATTGGGAGCCCCAGGCGTCAAAGCGAGACGGGGAGGCCGCGGGCAACACCCACTTTCATAGCGCGATAGGGAGTCTCTCTCTCTTTCTCTCTCTCTCTGTCTCTCTGGCTCTGTTCCTCTGTGTTTGTGTGTGTTTGTGTGTGAAACCCGTTTGTTTGAAAACGCAGCGACGAAAAGGAGAGCGAGCCACAAGCAATGAACAGCAGCAAGCAAAGTGTTCCAGGCAGGCAGTCGCTCTCTCAGTGCACGTCCAACCGGAAGCCCAAAAAAACGAAACGCTCGCTCGCTCGCTCACTCCATCTTTGTTCTGTATATCTGCTTGTGTGTGTGTGTGTGTGTCTGTATGTGTGTGGTGTATCTGTGTTCCAATCAGAATACACACAACAACAAGGAGCCAGTCAGTCCGTGTTGGCATCGGATATTCCTCTGCCTTCAGTTGGATTCGGATCGGTTTATGCGCGAAACGCGAAACGCAGCGAATGGAAAAAGCTGAAACGTGAATTGCCGTCGCCAAAAAGTCAAGCCACAAAAACTAACTGCTAAACTAACTATTCTGATAGCCGCCTTGTGATTAATTAGCCACCCGAAAACGAGTCGCGTGATTTCTCAAATAAATTCCATTGGCTATCGGCTGGAAGCCTTTGTCTATCTGTCCATCGCGATAGTGTATCTGTGAGTGAGGGTGTGTGTGTGTGATTCTGTGTATTTTTTGCCAACATTATGCAAATGTATGAGTTCTGAATCTGTGAGTTGCGTGTGATTTGTGGCATCCAAATCCACAGACTGGAAACAACCCATTCAAAATCAAATCAAACCACAAAGAGCACAAAACGTTTGGCTTTAAAGGCAGTTAGGCAGTCGAGCCTAACCACCGCACAGCACAGCAAAGCAAAGCAAACAGGCCATTAAGCCCCCCATAACTGCCAATTGGCATACGAATCTTCATTTGCATACATCAAACACATCAGCGGCAGCACACAACAGCCATTGGACGGGGCAGAGCGACAATCGGCAGGCAGAGAATCGCATCAACAGTCAAGTGAGTTGAAATCTGTCTTTAAAAGAGTCTTTGTATTCATTACGAGGGGTTTTTATTGGGTTTAATCATACAAAATGGGAATTTGAATGGTTGATCATCCATCATTAGGATGTATGGACTATGAGATATTGAAAGTAGGAAAAATATCAGAAATATAGGCTCCACAGACTTGCCATTAAAACCATCGTTTTTTATTATATTAATCCTTAAAAATGCACTGCAGTAAGGAGAGGTTCTTCTTGTACTAAATCTGCCATTTCAAGCTGTCAATATCCTCATTGGAAACATTATCAGAGCTCTCCCAAGAGACCTTCTCTAAGCCATCCTCCTGCAAAATTGGTAGAAGACAAACTTTACTATATTTCAAAGATATATTACTCAATATCAACTCACCCTTGATGCCATATAATCTGGAAATTTGATTTACTCTCTATTTGAAGCACCTCTCGAATATTCTACCCATTGAAATGTGCTCGTACCTCTGCCTATTTTACTCGTACCCGTACTCCCTCCAATCACAAACTGGTTCCCCCAACTCTAGTTACAATGAGATTGGACACTCATTGGATGCCATTCAGCAATCACAAAAGTGCAGTCTGAGACTTAGACACCAACAATATGTTGCCGTTGTATCAATTAGCTAATCCCGCGATCAGTCAGAACACAATCTTTATGGATCAACAATGAAATTAGCATGGGACTAATGTTGGGCATGTAAACGCTAGATTGAGATAGATACACAGATAGATAGATAGATGTATAGGGAGATACTACTGGGGATCTACCCCAGAGGGAATGGGAACCCGTTTGAAATGTGATACCACGATTAGATTAGATCGATGTTCTTTTGTGCCACAAGATGCAGTGGCAAGTGGCCAGTGGCAGGCAGATACACACGAACGCAGCCGAACAGAAGCCGCCACAGAGGTGGAAGGGGCTCATACATTTTGGCAACTAAATCATTCTCGATTATGCCATTAGCTGTGTGGCTGTTCGGTACAGCGATCTTTTATGGCCTTTTTATTATTGTTTGCATTGTGGCCATAATTTAATTGAATTGTAATTTATGCATCCCGGGGCTGGCGTATATTCAGGCATTAATTGCCATAAAATATTGCAAGAAAAACCCATAAATATCTGAGCAACTTTTGAGCTGTCACAATGTTGTGATAGAGGGGGGGCAGACACGAGGAGAATATCTGTATGGTTTGATATGAACCTGGCGTCCATTGGCAGTTGACATGAGCGCAGTTTTGTTATTGTGTCAAAAATCTTTCAGCCATCCATTCCATTCGGAGTTAATTGATGGGAGCCGTAGTCCGGGGAATCAGCAGCCGCAGCTGAAAAGCAGCAGAAAAACATTGGGAAAACAGGAATGCTTTCATGAATTTTTCAACACTCTACTCCACTCGGAAACACAAACAGAAGTTGGCATAATTATTCGCACAATTGCATTGCAGATACATAAATTGCGATCTGCGCGCGTTCAACCCTCCAACAAAAGACTCGAGAAACTGCAAAAGAACACCAAACATCAGTCATTAACATTAACATTTACACTTACATTACTATATGTAATAGCATTCGTTTGACTATTCATTAGGGTCTGTGATCCGCTCTGGACATGGTTCTAGCTCTCGAGACTCTTTGCGAATGCACATAAATTAGAGGCGAGGTGTAAGCAGGCTGACACGCGGAGTGAGAGCTTAAAGAAATGGAAACTACAAGACTTTTCCTCATTGGTTTGTTGGAGAAATTTGTGGAATAAATAATTTATGTCCTTGACTCCTGCTAGCCTTGGCAAACCCTATTAAGCGCCTGCAACCCTTTGCTACACTTTCACTCCTGCACTCAGCCATTTATTCTGGCCATATTCCTTGCGAGCAATTAACTGCTGGCGCCACCACTAACAGGACAACAACGGGGCTCAATGGATGGCCCAGACAGCCGAGTGGTCCCCCACAGAGACTCGAACGGGAGGCTACAATGACACAACACGACATGAGATGCTCGAGTGCTGTAAATATTGCAAAAAGTGTCGTAAAATCATTAGCTGGAAAAGTGTATAGGCGCGTCCTTAGGGCCAAAAGCAAGGGTCCTGCCCGTGACACAACGGCGCTGCGTGTGACCAGTGGCACAGGTTACATGATTCCTATATATAGGAGTGTACCCTGCACTATTTGTGTGCGTGCCCAAGCGCCTTTTAATTTATGACACATTTTATGAGACCCGCAAAAGGCCATAAAACTGAAATTGGCTTCAAATATCCAGCTAGAAGGCCAAAACAAAAATAGCTAAATGGTTCTGACTTCGATTCGGGCAATGGCTTTGGGCCCAGCGAGGTTTTTGGGACAATTGCATCATAAATCTCAACCAAAATCGTTTAGCGAGGGGCAGAGCTAAGGTCACTCTCGTAGAGGTTTAACAAGCCATTGCAGGGCATAAATAAATGCATTTGGGGAAGCGAAATTGCAGTGGCTTTTATTTTTTTAAAAATGTCTCAAACTGGAGCCTAGTTTTTGCTTTAAAAGTTGCTAATAATTTTAGACAGTTCTCGGACTTACTTTTGTAATGAAATCTACCAATTAAGTATTGAATTTTATAATGGAAATCCCTTCTCCTATAAATTGTATTTTCCTCAAATGCTAAACCTTTCTTTAGAACACTTTTCCGTTTCAATGTTCGTGCACTGCTGCGGCAGCCGCCAGACACACTTGGCTGCAAATTCAAAACGGCAAAAACCCAAGCTAATTATGCAATTTTAGCACTGGCTAACCTACACACAAAACTGCACTAGAAACTTAAAACAAAAACAAACTCGAACCCAAGCCCAAACCCAAACGCAAGCTAAAGCCACAGCCATATTCATTCAGGTAGCAGCTCTCTGAATATGCAACACGCAAGTGGAAAGGAAAGTGTCGCAGAACGAAGCACCAACTGAAAATGATATATGTGCATATGCACTTTAAGCAGGTCAACGGGGGCCCAGAAACAGAAACAAAAAACAGAAACATGGCCCAATAGGAAGTAGCAGGGACAGGGCTCGTAGCCAAGCGACCCATTGACCCAAGGCTGGAAGTCCTGCCGTGCGTTGCGAGACGTTGTCCTAATTGCATGTCAGTTGCAACAGACAGGAACTGGCAAGCGAGACAGAGGCTACATAGGTACTGGGCACTGGATCCAGGGTTCTGCCAGGTTCGGTTCTCGGTAGCACAGGACATGGCGTCAGGTGTCTGAGTTACTTGCTGCGAGGGTTATAGCTGCTGCCCCTAGGCCCTAGGGATGCAGCCAAAACGCTAGATTTATAGATTTTATTGCTCAACATTCGGCAACCCAAGAGCATGGGGAATGAGCTTGGCTTGGAGAGTTATCAGCTCTCTGCTGCTCAATATATCGTACAACAATTTATTCCCCATTGTGTTCAGCTTCTTAAGCTGTACTCTATATCTGTACTCTTTGTTCGTTTGAATACGATCTACATCAACACTCCCTATCCGCTTTATTGTTTACCCATTTTGCGCTGATAAAATTCCTATCCTGTCACATTCTTCCAACAACCGCGATTATACTTTGCCATATAATATAATTGTCGCCCTGGATACGGCGACAGAAAGAGATATGTAAAGTCCGGCCTGATAGGCTCGCCTTATTCATGGAAATATATCGGGAATCAGGCGAACTTATCGCACAGCTCGCTGGCATGTGGAACCTTCATGGAGGAGGGAGGCGTAATCTCTGGACTTATCGCCGGGACTTAGAGGAAGCGGGTCCACCACTCAGTTCGCCCCCAGCGATAAATCTCCGACTATAAGTTCTGTTTTGATGTCTGATTCGACTGTGAATTCTGTTTTGATACTCGCATGTGATTCCCGGGTGCAGTCGAAGTTTATCTCATTGTTTCTCAGGCTTTTCAGTTCGACGGGCGCCAGGGAATCGTAAAAAAAACTTTCGAAAGCGCCCATATATCTCCCCCCACCTTGGGCCTTGGCCACACATTTTTTTGGTGGCCATAATTAATTAATTAAAGACTAGGAAAAATTAGGCGACATCTTTTCACAGTCTTCACGAACGAATCTTGATTTTTCCACAGCAATTAATTCCGTCTCCCCATCTCCCTCTCTGTCTCTGTCTCTCTCTCCGATCTCACAAATGTAAATGTCACTGGCAGTGCGTTGCGGTGCGGCGGAGAAGAGAAGAGAAGCCATAAGCCGCACCGACGCCAAGACACTTAAGAGCTTTGGGGCAGGGACAGATCAGATCGAACGGGAGGAAGGTCGGGGCACATTCCCCTTGCCACAGAGCCATGGAATTTGTCTGCCCGCGTGCCGAAAACTTGTCACTTGCCAGAGAGAGAGGGAAAGAGAGACAGGCAGAGCATGCAAGAGAGAGAGAGGCAAACACTCTCTGTCGTATCGGCGGAGATCAAACACAGGGCTCTCTGTGGCTTAATTTAGACGCCATCTATGCCACAAAGGACACAAAGTCCGAATCGAGTTCGCTGTCTAAGTCTTTCGTTTGTTCACACAGAGGCCACAGAGTGTCTGTGTGACTGTGTGTCTGTGCCCCCCAAAGCCAGCATAAAAACGGCACAGATAAACCGCCTATCGGCCCAGTAATTAATTATAAAACAAATGACAAAAAAAGAAAACATTATCGGTGGCAACAATAGGAGCAAAGAATACGAGTATTGCAATATGCTAGTAAGTCTCCATTTCCGCCATCATCCCCTCCCCAAACCCCAAAGGCTCTGCTCTGATAAGAGGGGCGCCTCTATCCAAAACGATGTTTATAGACTGACACTGTTGCCCGACTCCAAAATCAGCGATTGGAACAATCATCAGAAGGTGGAAGGGGGCCCGAAGGGTAGTTCGGAGTGGGGTGCTTATCTGTTGGCATTATTCAAATGGGAGAGTTCTTCGGTCTGTTGTTGAGGAATTTGTAAGTAGCCGTCGCACTTCAACTGCGTTTCAGTTTGCCTTTTGTCAAGTGGCTTACGGAGA